CTTCGGCACTTTCGCCCCTTGTAATGTATCTTTCACGTTTCCCCCTCATCCCTATTTGGACTGCTGCTTCTTCCCATTCTAGCCAGTTAGTCATCATCCCCACTTCCCCTCATCCTCCTGCCCCTCTGGGCTTCGCCCTCCTTACCTCCTTTCGGATGTACCACAGGTTCTGCCCTATGACCTTCGGTACCGCTCCGCTTCTGTCATCCCTTTGTTCCCGTTCGGACGCCTTCGTTCCGATTCGGACCCCCTTTATTTCCTTGTGCTTTCACCCTCTCCATTATATATATCGGCGCTTGTACATACTCGTTTTAGGCCTTAGTCTGAAATCGACCTGAAATGCCCCCAAGAGACTTTCCCTCTGCTAGATCCAAAATTAGGGACCCCCAGGACAACCAGCAATGGCACAGCGCTCCACCTGAGTGGCTGAGGCTGAGGTCCTTCCACGCTAAGTCTCTGGTTCCCCTCTGGAATCGTCCGCCCTCGCCCAGTTCTAACAGGAAGGTTAGCCCACTGAATGGAAAAAAGACATCAGCTGTGCTATAAGTGGAAGCTGACTAATTAAGATGACAAGGGTGGAGTCACCAGGGGTACAGGTAGCTCCAATGCCAGAGTTACATATCCGAGAAATGTTGGGCGACTCCAATAATTGAAATGGAGAGAGGAAGGGTTTAGAAGTATATAACAAAATGTTGGGGGTCTGTCAGGAGGTCGGAGCAATCCAGGGATTCTGAAGGTTCCGACTTGGAGCCAAGCTTCCGGGATGGAGGTGGCTAAGGGTGAGTGTGCCGAAGTCCAGGCCGGAGCTGAGACAGTAGGGACAGAAGCAGGGTGGGAACGCAAGGAGGAGTGGTGTAGGGGATGGCGAGGTTGTTAGGGAGGTGTAGTGAGGTGGGAAAGTGCGGGGTCAGGATTCTGGGATATGACAGTAAGTAGATCTTATTTCATACTAGATATATGCTGTATATAAGCCGAATCCAATCCAAACTAAAATCCAAGCAATCCAACTGTGTGCCATGTCAGGTGGTGTCCCACCAGTTATAGAGTATGCAACAACCATGCAGCTGGTCAGCTAGCACAGCCACCCATACATCAGCTCTAATCAGCTCCCCTCGAGCTGATCAGCAACCATGGATCAGCTGGTCAGCTGGCACAGCCACCCATACATCAGCTCCAATCAGCTCCTCTCCAGCTGATCAGCAACCAAGGGATCAGCTGGTCAGCCAGCACAGCCACCCATATAGAAGAAATTCCCACGACCTATAAAAGGAAAAAAATCAGCTGTCCCATACATCAGCGGTAGTACGGTACTACCGGGCTGTCAAATACACAGGGTTTCATTAGTTTTGATGCAAACCCTCGTCCAGGTCATCTTATCCTGCACAACACCATTTGAGAGTGATTGATTACGCATGTACAAACAGTCAGCTCTCCTTCTGCCGCCTCTTAGGGTTCATGTAAATATATGTGACAAGTTTAGTAGCAATGCTCAGAGTCGACATCGGGCAAGTCAAGAAAGTGCAGATTTGCACTTTGAGCACCTCGTAGAGGCTGCTATTCTACCTTGGGGAGGACCCCCCAAGCCCACGTCAAGCCGAGTCAGACACATGCAAAGTTTAAGAGTTGATAATGGTGCCAAGGCTAGGATGTTGGATCACCAGAAGCCCCGAAGCAACGCCCGAAACGACAACGGAAGCAGCGGACGGAGGGGACGATGCATTTCCTGCTTCAACTTTTGCGTGCAGGATCGAAATTTCGAGCAGAGTCAACTGAGCGTGACGATCCAAGCAAGTAAGCAACGTTAGTCGTGAGCCATTGAAACAAGAGGTCAGAAGTGGGAATGGGCATACTTACTGATCAGTCCAAATCCTTCTAATCGACCAGTGGTTCTCCCGAAGTTTACGATCTTGAGCGATATCAGCACCAATTGCATAGTAGCCTAAATCCGCAGGTCAACAACTAGTAGTGCTGGAGAAGAATCACATACCAAGCACATACTGAGCAGGGCCATAGGCCCACGAGTCTTGTCAGCGAGCTCCTCACGAGGATGTCTTCCGAAAACAACATCCTGTACATTCTCATGACCTGTCTTGGAAATCCCCAGTGGATACGCCACAGCAACCGCGGCACGAATACTGGGTCTTTCCGACCTGATCTTGGCCTCCTCTTGCAGTTGGCCTGCTTATTCCGGGGGGAGGAGAAATGTCCATTGTTGTCCCGGAATGCATGGAAGGAATTTTCAGTACCAGATAAGTTCGGTGGAGTCCAGAGAATTGCACCCTGTACTACGGGCCGGATGAAGCTAGCCATCTCGTGCCTTCTCTGGTTAACCACCTCCAAACTTCGCCTCGTTTGAATCTGAAGGTGTCAAGGATGTAAATGTTATTCCACCTATCTCCGCGATTTTACTGGATGTACCATCTTTCCCGTCCATTTCTTCTCTGCCGATGCATTTGGTTTCGCCTCCTGCCCCAAGTTTCCCCCCGTTGCTGCCCCATCCATCACCCCCGCTCCTGCTCTACCTCCCGTGTCATCTCATTACCCACCAACGTCGTACCCGCATCACTCTGTTCCCCCTCTTCCTGATGCCATCTCCCCTGAGGAAACGGCGAAAGCTAAGAAGGCTGCGAAGTACGCTATTAATGCGCTTGATTATGATGATCCTGATACAGCCAGGAAAGAACTCGTAAAGGCATTGGCTATTTTGGGCGTTTCTGTCGAACTTTTAGAATCTCGCACAGGCCCCAATTCATTTCTTATACATACCCCTCCCTTAATTTGAGTTCCTCATTGGTGTTCTCCGGTTTGAGACTATGCGCTCTGTACACCTTTCGCTCCGCCTAGTTTGTTTTGGGTTTCATGCATTCATCTTTATCTCGTCCCATACATCATTGTAGCACATTCACACTCTTCCCATTATTGTCTCTGTTCGTCTCCTCAATCTACCCCCACCTTGGGGCTTCGCTGTCAGCTACAAGTTTTGTCTGTTTCCCTTTTCCTTAAATCCATCTAGCGCCAAAAGTGGACTGATATTCTGACCGGTATATCTTGCCTTTCTTTTCCCTTTAACCAGATATCCCATTCTAGTAGTACTAGTACGGTTGATCGACTCCGATCAATTCCTCCGTATTCCTTATTCTATTCCGTTTCCCATGATTCCCCTGATGGTCTGTTTTCTGCGTTTGCGCCATTGCCTGTCCTCGGATTCAGGTCTGAGCTGTATGTGATTTATGACCGTTTTTGATTCCACAGACGATTTGCTGTTACCATTTCGACCGATTTCTACGCGAGTTGTCGGGGCCCAGATCGGACCATGTGTAGCACCATGCATAAGAGCGCACGGAGAAGGTTGTTGCGTTGATATGTGGCAGTGCGGCTGTCCCACAACCTGAGGGGATCGGCAGGTAAGGGTGCCTGGTTGGTGTGGCGGGGTGACGGAGTCTGCTGGCTTGTGGTGTCGGGATTATCGGCTATACTGGATGGCTATGTACCTACAGTGTTTATGAACCTCCGCCTCTTCCACGTGCTCCGGGTCGATCGTGCTCCCTTGTTCTCTTGGGTGGTGCAGCATGGCGCCCGTTCTGTGGGTCGATTTCTGGAAGAGCGTACAGTAGGAAACCTAGCGATGGGGACGACCAAGGGTGGTGGATAGTGATGGAGGATCATGAGTAGGGGTGCCGTGGTTCTCAGAGAACCGGTTCGAACCGGGACCGAACCGAGAACCGAACCGTGCTGGAACTGAACTGTGGTTCGGTTTTGACCCAGTTCTCTGATGGTTCGGTTTTGGTTCTCTAAGTTAGGGGGAAAATGTGAACCGGTTCTGAACCGAACCGAACCATAGAACCGTAGGAATGTTATCATGCTCCAAACCTTACTAGTATCTTATGTCACACAAATGAAAAATGAGAGCGTGCGCAACATTGTGAGTCGCACCATTCATCTCCCAGAGTGTTGATTGTCACAGACTATTATCAGTTTCTTGGGTATCATTCCATATATGCAACCCGGTCTGCTGCCTTCAATACAGCCGGAAAAAAACAGGGCAAGGGTGTATATGCGCTGCCAATTGCCACTTCAGCTGATGAAGTTTCTGGTCTCTCTGGCCGTCTTTCAGCCAGCCAAGCTTGACAGGCTCAAGAAGTATCAAGCGATGATCCTTGTGGGGAACTTGAATGCTATCTCAATGACCCACTTGAACTGCCTGGAACGGACATCCTCGACTTTTGGATGGTGAGCAGCACCAGTATTTTGTCTCAACTATGCTTTAACTTCGAACTTATCTATACTAATTTTCAGAAAAAAGGCGCTACATATCCTGTCTTAGCCTCCATTGCCCGAGATCTGCTCTCGGTCCCAGCATTCTCTATTCCATGTGAAAGGGCATTTTCTGCCGCTAAACACACTGACACTGACAGTCGGAACTGTCTCACTCCCGAGCATCTCGGGGCTATTCAAATCGCGAAGGCTGATATGCAGCGTAACTACTTCAAGGAGAGGGAGGCAAGGAAGGCATTAGACGCAGCAAAGGTCCGAGAGTGGCAAGGTTATGAGGCAAATCTCATGATAGAACGCGCAGAGCGGGTGGGCCTCATTATGGACACTTAGAATGTTCCGCCGAAAATATAATATTTCATTGAAATTATCACATTTAACAAAGTTGGTTCGAACCGTTCCAGAACCGAACCGAACCGCAAGAGAACCAAATAATGGTTCGGTTCGGTTCACATACTGGTTCGGTTCTGGTTCGGCATTATCGTCAAATTTCGAACCAGTTCCGGTTCCGGTTCTCAAAAAATCGGTCCAGAACCAAACCGAACCGAACCGTGGCACCCCTAATCATGAGTAAGAGTTTGATGACAACATTGCACTTTCAGGGGAGTGGGCGTCGAGTGTTGGTCAGGTCAATGCCACAGCCTCAGGTTCGCTGGAGCTAATTATAATCGGTCAATGGCATAGCGCTTGGGCAAGCATGTCGAAATTAATTGCGAAGGGTACCTACGCTAACCACCAGATACTGGGCAAATGACAGCAACTTCTTCACCCTTGAAGTAAACTTCATTCACATCCGTTCATCTCAGCATCCACACTCCACGAACTCTCGTTCAAGACATCCTGTAGAGCAGGGTGACGTTCCACTGGAAGACGAGCGAGCTGACCGAGCGTGAGTGAAGTATCTGGGAAAGGAATCATCTCGGTGTGGAGACCTGTTGCGGATTGAGCAGCTGCAAAGTACAGCACAGTCACAAACTGGTTCCCAGTGTTCTGAGCAGCCGGCAAGGATCTGGACATGACCGATAAAACACGCTGAACTCGTGTCGATCTTTTGATCTAATTCGGAGTTTGTGGAAAAGTGTCTGAAATAATGAAGTTAATTACAATCAACTTCCTCTTTGGAGGCGCTGCGTGCCCACACTTTCATCGACCGATCCGCTGACTTCGTCATACAAAGAAAAGAGAAAAGGAAGTCTGACCTCTAGGTGCTAGTGCTCGTCATCACTCGCGTAAGATACCCACCCATCTATGTCCCAGCGTATCTCTACTTTCCATCCAAGAACCACGATCGGCGTCACACAAGTTGATATGAAAGATCGCCATTTCTCGTTTGGCAAATACGGGACCATTATCTTGAGCTCTTTCACGCACGGAAGTCCTTCAAGGCCCCGTTGGAGGACCATCACAATGTCGTCATCCGGAAGCTGGAAATAAGGGGAAACGATGCTGAGGTATTCAAGGCGCGGAAGGTCATGTCCAGTGAAAACGATGGCCTTTTCATCCAGTAGGTCCACAGATTGGATTGTAAGCGTGGAAACTGGACCGGTCGACTGCCCGAGCGCGGTCAATGCCCCGAGAAGTTTCCCATCCTCTTCACACCATATCAGTCTGACATCTCGTACCGGTCTGCCTGGGACTAGGGCTTTAACGACCTCGCATGGGCCAGTCAGCCCTAAGCTGGGCATTGCCACGGGCTTCGCTTCGCCGCGACTTCTTGGAGAAATCTGGAGATGTTGAAGGAGTCTTGTATATTTTCGGTGGGGTGGCGCGAAAGCTTTGTGCAGTCTTGGCGTGACGCTAAGCCGTAATTGTAAGATGTTGGGACAGAGCGTCAATACACTTGAGAGCAATCCCAAGTCTTATCAACGGTTCTAAAATTGTCAGTGCAGGCTCCGTGCAGAAGAAGCCTCGGTGTCTTCTTCGGGCGTATATTTCTCGGAGGGTCCAACCGGAAATTATGAGCGGGCAGGTCAATGAATAGTGACCACACAAACGATCCCCGCAATGGCCGAGCGATGATCGATTGGAAGAAACCCAGTGCGATCGTATCGTCCTCAAGTGAAACAATGCGGTACATCGCACGTTCAGCGACCGCTTTCCAGTTCCTGTTGACACGTGTCATGGCGTAAAGATCTGCTTTGCGAGTGATATATTCTCCCAAATCTCAAAGGGAAACTTTGAACGAAAGGTTGGGTCCACTGCGTGAGGAATAGCCTGTCAATGATATCAAGCATTAGATCTGACTTTATCATTCACGATGGATGGTTGGGAGCGAAACATTCGTTTGATAGCAGAACGGAACTACGAAGGCAAGTCAGTCATGAACAGTCACCAAACCCAATCCATACCTGATGGTTCATCCTGAACACTTTGCGCCAAAACTCTGCCTCAGATAGCTGCAGAGAAGGGAGGAGTAAGAGCGTCGAAAAGTCAGGAAGATGAGGATCGCAGCCGGCAAGACACAGGCGTGGCCTATGGATAAGAAGCGTACGGCTTGTATATATAATCCAAGTAGCGTGTAACTTGTGGTAAAAGCAAGCCACAGCCGGTTGGCACCGGTACGCAGCGACGCGAGCTGTATGTGTCCTCCAGCCATGGACGACTAGGATACAATATTGAATCTTGATACGTTGCAAGCTTGATTGACGTAGTTTACAGGTACACACAACCGTCAAACCAGGCTATAAGTGGGGACTCGGATTCATGGAGGTTCATTGGGCACGCGGGCGAAGGTACACATTGACGTATCCAAATCTTCGAGAAATTCAATCTCGCGAGCAGTTAAGTTACCGGTCTCAATGTTCGTGCGAGAGTGAAGTCCCTAAAAATGCATTACTGATGAGATGTTTGATGCATAATTGAGTGAAAATACCTTCGTTGGGGCAGCAATGTTTAACGGCGCTGTTGGCATGCCAAACTGGAGGCCTGGATTCAGCTCCCATGTTCGATTCTGCATCAAAAAGAACGCATCAAATACCATCCCAAACCAAAACAAGCGTCTAAGCAAGGACTCACAAGGTTTCTTTTAGGTTCCGCGGGGAGCTCCCAGTCCAGTGACGCAGGGGAAGTCGCGCGCGACTCTGATGCGGAGCCAGAATCGGAAAGGAAACCTTGAAAGCCTCTTCCAACTGTTTCTACGAAGCTAAGTCGTACACCACCCTGGTTCAGACGATTAAGTTCGCCGGTGAAGTCGAAGTTTTTCTTGCCAGTGTCGTCCTCATGCACATGGTCGCCTTCTTCATCTGAATATGTTTTCATAACTGATCCCAGACGGCGCAGTGACCGTGAGGGAAAAATGAGGGCCTGGCAATGAACCAGGAGAGGAGTTTGAGTCCGAAGTTGTAACCGGTAGAGACGAGTGAAGGTGGCATAGGGGGCTGAGGGATAGAAAGCGTATCATCCAACGATCGTGTTGTATCTTGGTCGCGGCTAGGACGCACAGTTTTCCGAGTCACACGTTTGGGCCCACCCCTTCGCCTCCAGGGGTAAGAGGTATATGAGTTGGTGCTACAGGTGTGGCGGTCGTGAGCTGAATCGATGGAACGATCCGAGCGAGCAGTTGCCGGAGTAAGCAACGCGACGACGGCAACGTGCCTCAATGCCGGGTACCTCAGCTGCAAATACATAACGTCAGAATAATAGGTCTCGCCATCACAAGTGGATATCTCACCATTTTTCTGGTCCCACGGCAGCGTGGTTGCTGGGGTGAGCACCGCGACGGCGGCAGTGTGCCTCAGCACTGGGAGCCTCAACTGTAAATATAAGTGCACGTTGATGTCAGAATAATAAACATCGCGATCCTAAGCGAGTATCTTACCATTTTTCTGAACCAATAGCAACGCCATTGCTGGGTCATGCAGCCTGATGACAGCAGCATGCCCCAGCGCGGGGAGCCCCAGCTGTAAAGTACGATAATGTCAGAATAACAAACCACACTGATTCTAGGTGCAATATCTCACCGTTTGTCTCGGACCCAGTTGCTGGGGCACGGGCACGCAATGGGGCGCCAGTCAGGCGGATGGCAGACGCGGCAATGTCCGCTACCTTATTGTGTCGGCCTAGACTAGTGGGGTGATGGACATCTGGTCCAGTAATTTGCCTATCCTTGTCTACCCTCGTCTGTCCATCCATCCTTGTCTGGCCTCTCGTCCATCATCCATCCATCCCTTTCGCCCTTCCCTCAACAATGCTCCAGCCCCCCCTCGAGACCGTCAGTTCGCACTTTATCGTTGCCACATGTTATCACCCAGCTAATGTATCTTCTGTCATAGATCAACCTCGGTATGCATCAGCTCCTTTACACGCCTCTCAAGCCGACGCATGCCAAACTTATGCTCACACCTGGTCCAACTGATCAGGGCCCCTCACCGTCCCTCGCATCTGGATCGGGCTCTGGCAATTGTCATCTCCTGCATGGGGCACTGCCCCTGTGTCCAGAGTCAAGTCGGAGATGAACCAGCACTATCTTCATGGATTCACGACTTTTGGTGCGCCGAGCACACCTACACCATCCGTGTTCACTCACTGAATCCACTGCTCTGTAGATATGGCAAGTATATTTTGACTCCTATCTCTTCAATCCTAGCGTTTGTTCATCAAAAATATTCTTTACTTTGCGTGTCGGCGTCGATTAGGGTACGAACACTTTGTTTCACCGTGTACCTCGTGTTTTTTTTTTCCCTGATTCTCCTATCCGTCTCCTACGATCACAGCCGACCACTATGGCTCTGCAGAGTTAATCTTTGGCCAATTTCGTCGAGCCTTATTGTCAGCGGATAACAATATCTTCGGTGAGGATGAAATAACCTTTCGGCGAAGCAGACGACTGCCATTACATCCACCACTCTGCGCTACAAAATGGTGCATATTCATGGAATCTCACATCCCATACACCCGTTCCCGAGTAGAGGACGCTGTGCGTGAACGTATGCGCAGAACCATGGGGGACACGATTGACATACTTCAAGTACACTGGCAACATTACGACAACTCCGACTATGTCAATGTGTTCCGATACCTGGTTGATATTAAACGTGATGGCGAGCTCAAGGTCAGGGCTTTAGGCCTCGTCAACTTTGACTCTCAACATGTCAACGAAATCTGCGAAACTATCGGTCCCGGTGAACTTCTTACTAATCAAGTGCAGGTGGGTGACCAGTTTATTACCGCCGGAACTGATTGAGCCTATATCCACTAGTTCTCTTTAATCGATGTCCGGCCACTCTATGACATGGCCGCTGTATGTAAAAAACATGGCGTTAAGCTCCTGACATATGGCACATTGGTACGCCCGGCCTGCTTTTTTCGTGTTGATCATATCTAATCTAATGATTGGCGAATCACGTTTTAGTGCGGTGGATTCCTTTCTGATCCCTGGTTAGGGAAGCCTCAACCAGACCCATATAAGGATAAAATAACGCCATCTCAGCGGAAGGTAAGCTCAAAGCTCATCCTTGTCTCACCCATTTCGTTGATGGTTCGTTCAGTATCTCGATGTCATCACCGATGGATGGGGAACATGGGATCTCTTTCAAGCTTTGCTCACAAGCCTTCGAACGATTGCAGATCGCCATGGGGGCCTGAGTATTGCGAACGTAGCTACTCGTTGGGTGCTGGATCATCCTTTTGTAGGAGCTGTTATTGTTGGTAAGTGCTCCCAAGTTCCGTGCTCCAACATCAAGCTTCTTCAGTCTTTCATGTGGTTCTGGCTTCTTTAGCTGACCCCTCCCTTTTGGCCTGCTAATTCACGCATGGACGCATTCTTGGGTCCTTTCTTTGAGTCTTCCATACACTGATGGCCTCATGATCGACTTGAACTGACACACATGGACATCCACTGTAGGTGCCCGACTTGGAGTAGCCCAGCATCGTGAAGACAATGCCCGGACCATCATGACTAGTTTCCATCTAACGGCTGAAGACAATCAAATCATCTCAAACGTCTTAGCACGGTCCAATGGCCCGAGGCTCATCCACACGATGGGAGATTGCGGTGCAGAGTACCGTTAAAGCCAGACTCATACCAGAGTTAATCAATGTCGCCTTGACTGAAGTGTCCAGTCACAATGCCATAGATGCGACTCCAGTCAACAGTGAGGATGAGTCCCTAGTTCCCTGTGACAGAACCGAAGAATCTAGCGACCGTTTGAGCACCCAAGTCACCGATAAACCAAACATTTCAGTCTGGGACCAGCGGCGAGTCCCACGCTAGCGTGCATGGCGAAGTGGCTGAGCAACATTCTGTGCCTGAGTACGATGAAGGACATGGTAGTTCTGCCCAAGAAAGACCCAGACAAGGTCTTAAGCTTAAGCACGAATCGGAGTGCGGGCGATGAGCCAGCCCGAGTGCGTGAACCTAAGGGACCCAGCACATACGTCGCATAATCGCTCTGTTTGATGCCGTACGCGATCAGAGGGCTACAGTAAACCTAAATCCACCCCAACGCTTTGGTCTCACGTGAGTGTGGGAGCCAGCCACAATCGGACTGAACGACTGGCTCCCCCTTGTCTACTTTACTGCCTGGGAACCTTCGTACATGATGCGCACGTCTATTGATGTGTTCAGCCTCCAATGTCACCGTTTGATATGGTACAGACAGACCTTTGTTCCCAGGTTGTGACTCGATACTCTACTTATTGCGATAGTTGACATATTCGGTGAGCGCTCGTTTACAACCTTTGACATCATGCCTGACCCATGCAATGCCCTTGCCCTCCTTCCACAACGCTCTAGGATACTACACGAAGGCTCCCTCATTGTGTCCCACTGCCGTCGCATCTCTGGCGGCAATTCCCTTGACTGCAGCCACTTGTCTTTGAAAACTGTTCACGCAACCCCACATCTCATAACACCCTTTGCGTTCTGCCCAACCACCCCCCGGATATTTCTTAGGAAGTTTCTCTTTTGTATTTAACTGGAGACGACCAGAGACGTTCAGTGTGTTGCTGGTGTATCGTGGTTAAAGCAACCCCTTCAGCACATCAATCCTCCCCTTCAACACGCGAGGGAAGTGCCGACAGACTGCAATGGCTGACTTGCACATGACCTTGGTTTCAGCACTCTATAGACAACCTTAGTGCTGGTACGTAAAAAGTGGTTCAAAGACGTATCTGTTAGAATGGGCGGAAACAGACGACTCCGGAGTGGAATCGGAGACTTAGCGTGGAGGGACCTTGGCCTCAGCGACTCAAGCGGAGCGCTGTGCCATTGCTGTTTGTCCATTTGGTCCTTAATTTCACAGTAGGTGAGCAGGAAGTCTCTTGGGGGCATTTCAGGTCGATTTCGGACTAAAACCAAAACGAGTATGTACAAGCGCCGATATATATAATGGAAGGGGCAAAAGCACAAAGAGAACAAAGGGTGACCGAATCGGAACGAAGACGTCCGAACGGGAACAAAGGGTAGAGGGGGCGGAGCGGTACCGAAGGTCATAGGGCAAGACCTGTGATACGTCCGAAAGGAGGTAGAGAGGGCGAGGCCCAGAGGGGCAGGAGGATGAGGGGAAGTGGGGATGATGACTAACTGGCTAGAATAGAAGGAAGCAGTAGTCCAAATAGGGATGAGGGGGAATTGCGAGAAATACATTACAAAACGGCGAGAGTGCCGGAGGCGGTCCGCGAAGCTCGGGGGTTGCGGAGCTTACGGAGCTTACGGAGGCGGGGTTGGAAGTCCGAGGAATATTGGCAATGGTGTTTACGTAGTATGAGGTCACCAATGCAATGGACTAAGACTGAGGTGGAGTCAAAGTCCGAGGTAGGGACTATGACGGAGGCTCGGAGTAAGGTATGAACGGTGTCCGAGTGTGAAGTACGGAACAGCGGTGGAAGGTCGTAACTTGGCAGAAGGGTGGCGGAGGAGGAGAGAGGGGACAGGTAAGGAGGAGGGAGTGGCGGAAAGGAGAGTAGTCAGGTCCGAAGGTGAGTATCGGAACGGACGGGGAAAGGGTCGGAGAGGTAAGAGGAGGGGTGTGTTGCCAAGACCGAAGGTGAGTATCAGAATGGCAGCGGTAGGTTATGACTCCGGAGGTGAAGAGGGTGGAGGTCCGGAAGTCAGGTCGGGGTCAGGTATGCACAGATATGACAGTATCCCATCGTGTTAACATGGTGCCAACATTCAATAGCAAGGGCTGATTCAGGATTATGGAAGACCCTAATCACTGCCTCCGTGTTACCTGGGATCGCAGTGAACGAATGATCCCTGCCATCGCAAAAACGCAATATGGTAACCATCGCACACTTCTTCCACTTGTTTCTCCTTACTATAGGATGAGCAACGCTCTTACAAGGTACTCACGAATAAGGCGATTTGTTTGAAGGGTCAATTATACCATCATGTCATGTAACGTGGCATGGGATTACCCTGAGATCCCAACAGACCCCTCGTTCCTTCATCACGATTATTCTGACTATGATATGGATGCCGAGTTCTGGCTAGGGGAGAATGAATGGACATTGCATGCCCAGTTTGTACGGTGTAACGGGTCTATCAATCTAGACTCGAGGCTCAGGTCTAGGGGGGGTAGGTCTCTCTCTCTATCACTCAGGTAGGTGTGTTGGTCCTGCGAGTACGGTGCTGATACTCTGTCTAACCTCTAACTAACTGTCTGTACAGTTGTCATGGAAGAGTCCGATACAAATATAAAAGGAAAGTTGCATGCGTGAATGAATGAAAATAGTAGAGAAAATAAAGAAAATGTCAGATCTCCTCAACCACTCCACCAAATCCGACGATCTTGGACTCGTCAGAACCACCTCCACAGTCTCTACAACTCCTACTATTACCACAACTCACCAATCCTAGTCCCTGATGCAGTAGGGGGTGAAATGTGTGATAAGGGTTGGTTTGACCTGCACGGACTTGTCCCCACAACAACGGCATGATCCCCAGGCTGTGTTCATCATGCATTCGTTTGGCCCTACGTCATGGATGGATTTGGCTTTTCTTTTCTCCAGGATTCCATGCCTGCCATCACCCCTTATCGGACCATGACACACTTTCGACAAGTGTCCCCCTCATGGTTGCAAAGGATACACAATGAGTGGAACGTACAGCAAAATCACATCGACATATTGGAACAGCTATATACCAAGTTCCCTGGCCTGGCGTTGCCTGTTTCTTTGAGCCATCATTGGCACAACCCAAAGGAGATGGATGTCAGGGGACGTGCGTGCTCGCGCAAGATGCTCCGATAACCTAGTTGTGATTAAAGCTGGGGGAAAGGGATGTCCCCATCTTAGGGTCAGCTATATACATGTAGAGTCTGGCAATAAGGAAACCAAATGGATTGCCGATAGAATCACATGATCATAGAATGTTCCAGAACAATGCCGGAGATGATCTGGGTCACCGGGGCTTAGGTAAGCAGAGTAGACGGGAATTACCGGCATACTTCCCACACGCATACACGCAGCCGGCATAGGGTCCAGGGTCATTGCTGATCCCTGACAATGGACAGGTGGCTGAGCTACTTGGTGAATGCATGTCAGGACTTCCAGATTAAATTCACAATGGAAGAACTTTATCGATGGTTCAAGGATTTGCAAGGGTGGTGTCAGAGACCAGATTGAGACAAAGGAATGTCTCCGTGGCAGAGGGCTTCGGCCTCAGTGACTTATGCCAGGAGCGCTGTGCCAAGTAACACGTCCATGCCCTAACTTACTAACTGGCAACCAGAACTAACAGGGGGTAAACTCTAGTCAATTTTATGTAACCTATGTACAAGTTGAGTATATATAGTTACAATGAGGGTGGGCCTGTAAATGGTGGGGCCGAGCAGAGTGGAGCTAACGGAGTTAAACATTAGCCGATTGAATATTACCAACGAGTTGGGTTATGGGGTTAGCAGGATGGTAGGCGATAACCCAGAAATGGAAAGGAGGGATAGGCCTGAAAGGTGGACTTGCAGGGCAAGCGAGTGTATTGCCCAGCGGAGGTGGGAGTGCACTAGCGGACGTCAGAGCTGTCTGGAAGCCTTCAGGGCTCCATACTTAGGGAGGCATAGGTAATAAATTGAAAAGAGGGGGTGGTGACCATCGAGGGATACCGAGGTGATTGCAGAATATGGGAGCTCTGAGGTTAGTGAGGAAGGAGTGGAGGTAGTCTGGAGACTTCGGAGGTAGTGGAAGTCGATGGCCGAGTATGGATATGACAGGTGGATAGAACTATCGCATCGAATGTTCCTGGTCGCACTTACCATCATCACTGGCCATCGCCTCCTGTCGTTCCCTACCTCGAGGTCCATGCTGGGTGCAATCTTCAATGCTTCAGTGTCCTGCATCCTCCAGTGATGTGAAGGGCTTGTTTTGTTGAAGCTGTGGATAATTTTTGGCCATCCACTCCCTCATTCGGACCTCCAGTGGCTTTGGTGGTGCTTTTTGTTTGAGTGTGGCCAAGTGCGCTTTTTCTTCATGCCAGCTTGTTATTTCTGCCTTCTGTGAGTTGTTGAACACTTTCCACCGCTCCTTAGCCTCTTCCTTCCATCGTTCCAACTCTTGCTCATTTAATTTTCTCTGAGCATGCTCTGCTTGGTCCCTCAAGAAACCATCATGTGTCACAACTTGGCCAAATGTCCCTTTAATGCATCCACCATCCTCCTTCGACTTCTCTGCTTCTTCCCACGCTAAGAGCTGTGTCTGAGCTTTAGACACATACATTCCCCCTAATGCCAACTGGGCATTTGCCGCATCCACTGCATCAACAGCTCTCTCCACCAACACTTGGGCCTTCCGAAACTCATGCCGCATTTCTTGGTTTTCTTGCACTAATTCAAGGCAAGTCTTGGATCCTGAGTCACGATTGTCTGCGAGATCCCATTTAATTGGGGGTAGATGTCAGAGACCAGATTCGAGACAAGGGAGTGTCTCTGTAGCGGAGGGCTTCGGCCTCAGCGACTTCTGCCAAGAGCGCTGTGCCTAGTGACATGTCCGTGCCCTAACTTACTGACTGGCAATCAGAACCTAAGGGGGGGTAACTCTAGTTGATTTTATTACTGGAGTGTAACCTATGTACAAGCGGGATATATATATGGTTACAGCGAAGACGGGTCTGCAATTGGTGGAGCCGAACGGAGCGGAGCTAACGGGGTTAAACATTAGCCGACTGAATATTACCGACGAGTCGGGTCGTGGGGTTAGCGGAAAGGCAGGCGATAACCCAGAAGCGATAAGCCTGAAGGTGGGCTCTGCAGGGCAGGCAATTGTATTGCCCAGCAGAGGTGGGGGTGCGCTAGCGGACGTCGGAGCTGTCCGGAAGTCTTTGGGGCTCCGTACTTAGGGAGGCATAGGTAATAAATTGAAATGAGGGGGTGGTGACCATCGAGGGGTACCGAGAGGATTGCGGAATACGGGAGCTCCGAGGTTAGTGAAGGAGGAGCGGAGTTAGAACGGAGGGAATGGAGGGACCGGAAGTCGATGGCCGGGGATGGATATGACAGTAGATCACTAAGTTGGCCATATGCACATTCAGGAAGTTTGAATGTTGAATGGAGAGGTGAGGAGGACACAATGGAATTTGTGGATGAAGAAAATGACATAATATGTTCTAGGTCATTGATGGCACGCTTCTTTGCTCGGGCATGAGCTGGGGGAAAGGTAAGAGTCTCATTGGGGCTGATGGTGGTATTCTCGGTGCTGAACATTGTACACCCGGTGCCAGAAGATTGTGGTGATGCATGGAGATTGTGGGTTGGGGTGTTTGTGATTGAGAGACAGCAAGCAAGGTGCGATTGATGATTGGTCGGTCACTTTCATCATCACTAACCTCATTGTCTGGAACATTACTTCCACCTAGGTACATTCCAACATCCTGCAAGTTGTCCATTGGTGAAGGTGTGCATTCCCGTTGGTATTTATGAGACATCAGCTGACTGTGAAAGTGCATAATGTGCTTAACAGGTGAGGCCACAGGGAGAGGAAGATCTCCTTGGGTGGAATGTTCAATACTCGGTGCAAGTTGTTCTGGGTGGATGACACTTGGGTTGACTGGATAGATGCCAGTTACGTGGAAGCTGGTGATAATGTGAGCTGGGGTTATGGTGTCTGTCCATGCTTGACCGAAGACTGATAGAAATGAGGATTTGTTTAGCTTCCTTGGGTAGTTTCGTAAATTAAACGTGTCGTGCTCCTTTGAGAAGCCCCGCTTTAAGAGGGAGAATATAACAACATCAAGCCCCTGGAGAACGTGTGTTGTGTGTGCAGGATAACATATAACAACAATGTTGTGGTTGCATGCATATGTTATGAAGTCCAGACTGTAATGTGAGTTATGTCCATCCACTACCAGGAGACGGTAGCAGCCAGCTGTCAGGGCACGGCCTAACCGGCTACCCTGACCCCCTATGCCAGAAGGGAGTTGCCGTCAGACGATCCAGAGTGATCCAAAGAACGCAGGTAATCTCGCTTAGCTCTCGCTTAGCATCCCGCTTCTGTCCACATGTCACCCCTTTCCCACACCTCGCTTACGATTACCCGAATGAATAGTTATCTTTTCATGTTATCATTCTATCAGCTGTTCTTTATCTCGTTTGTAGCTGCACTCTAGTGGATAGCGGTATCCATGTATATAAGCCCTATCTCCACTGAAGGTGGCGCTTCAGCGTTAACAACGACTAGGATTCTCGGGAACACCTTTATCGTCGTGAACTGACACGCAGTCCCTGACACCAGCAGCCTTGTGTTGTGTAGACTCATTCAAGGTTTGAAGCCAGTCTAAGCCAATCTCATTGTCTGTCCACTCCTTTTCCGATACAGTGACTCTAGAACACAAAAATATGAACACACATTCCATGTAATGAATGGGTAACTTACATGGCCTGCAAAGGATTATCCTTCAACCACTTTGAATTAACATTCTGCCCCTTAAAAATAACAACCAGAGGCACTGAAGTGCCATCTGCACAGACAGTCACAATCACACTGACATTCTTGCGATTCCCATCGTGTTGAATGTGTGCCCTTTTTGTCATCCTGCATGCAAAGACCTTGACCCTTTCCCCAGTCCCAAAAGGGAAGCCACTCTCATCCATAGCATAGACATCCTCATGTCAGAAATTGAAATGATTATACTGAGCTTGTAATAGTTGGAACCAGTGTTGGACAGCTGTTGGATTTACAGCACCGCCCCAAGTACTTTCGAGATTGGCACTCCACTTGGGTTGAAGTCAGTCTTTGTTGCATACTAAAAACCCATCAACCCAATTTTTGCTAAGCTTGGTGAGGGATGGGTGCCATATCTGGGCAACTTCCAATGCATACTCAATTACATGATCGCGGGTTGCTGGGAATCCATGGTTGGACATAAGAAGAAGAAAGTCTACAAGTGTATCACTCTCCACCTGATTCAACCATGACTGGTTTATTGAGGCTTCAAGGCGACTTTTCCCACCATTGAGCCTCTGCATGAATGTTGGATAGGACACTCCACAATTGGAAGCATGTTCCCGAGCACTGGCCGCTTTTTCACCCTTCTGCTTTGCACATAGAATCTCAGTTCTGTATGAAGTCAGGGTTTTCTGCATGTGCAGCTCTGTTGCCTCAGCTGCAAGATGCCTACAGCGCTCTAAGGAGTCCGCATGCTGGGCCATTTGACAAAACAAGCAAGCAAGGCAATATCGGCTCCAGGAGAGGCAGGATTGGTGATTAACTTTTTGATTGTTTGGGTAACACAGATGAAAATTATGCTTCTGACTTAGGTTCCATGTCTCATCAAAACAAACAAACCCTAACACAAATAACACTGGCCTTTTGTCCACTGCCTACATGGATGGCTGTTGGTGAGATGAAGGCTGCAACATGAGGCTGGGGTGGTTAAGTTGCAAACATGGTGACTCTTCGCATTCAAGTTTCTCATGTTTCACCGATTTTTTCCTTTATTTCATGCCTGCTTGACACCAAATTTGGTACATGAGTAGTCCTAGCAATCACCTATATCCATGCCGAATCTCACCACATATGATAAAGAACTGAACAAGTTAGGTGATTGTTTCTCATTTGGGGGTGTGTCTCATTCGGGGGTGAATAACTGTACAAGGAGATAAGACAGAGGAGGTCAAAGTCTGGAGGCGGAGATGTGACTGGAGTTCCAGAGGTGGAGGTGTGATGGGGTTCCAGTACAGGAGTCCGGAGCTGGAGGTATGAGGTTGGGATTGGACCCGGAGTAAACCGGAGTTGGACCGGAGGTAGTGTTGGATGTTGTGTTGGAGCCAGAGGTAGAGTGGGCTCTCAACAACCAACAGGGGGAGGAGGTGGAGGATGTGGAGTTCTGGAGGAGGAGATGGAGGTCCAGAAACAGGAGTGGAGGTCCGGAGTTGTATGGATATGACAACAATGGTGTGTATGATTATCATGGTGTTAAGCAGTAACTGGAAGTTGCCGCTTAGCCACATGACTCTATGTACACTGTTGTTACATCAGACTCAGGGTTCGGGGCTATTGCCCTGACATTCTCCCCCTTTGCATTGCATGTGTGACACATACATGGTTTTAAGAAGGAAGAAATGAGTTTGAGGTGAAAACTATTTTTCAAAGAAAGTTTGTTATCACCACTTTAAAGTGGGCAATGTGTACATTTAGGAAGAGGATGGGAAATAAGGAAGAGAAAAAAAAATGAAGGGGTGTGGGGCCATTACTTTAAAGTAAACGGCGATTATCACAGGAAAGAGAGGAAAATGGAAGAAAAAGGAGGTTTCGAAAATAGATTTTGACCCAAAGATTATATATCTCTGGTATTGCTCCTCACTTGTTCTGTGAGGAGTCATGTGTAAATGGTGTTTACACATGGGCAGTGGTGGATGTGGGTTAGATGGAGTAGAAGTTTCCGCAATTGTTAGAACTGGGCAAGGGTGGACGATTCTGGAGGGGAACCGGAGACTTAGCAAGGAGGAACCTTGGCCTCAGCAACTTATGCAGAGTGCTGTGCCATTGCTGTTTGTCCATTTGGTCCTTAATTTCAGAGGTGATGAGCAGGAAGTCTCTAGGGGGCATTTCTGGTCGATTTTAGACTAAGGGCCTAAAACGAGTATGTACAAGCACCTGTATATAATGGAGAGAGGCGAAAGCACGAGGAAACACAGGGGGTCCAAATCAGAACAAAGGCGTCTGAATGGGGACAAAGGGATGACAGAAGCAGAGCAGCACCAAAGGTCATAGGTTAGTGTCAGGGGATGGACCCTGGGCCCCCATGACCCCTCTCTCTATAGCCCACAGCCCTGTGTGTAAACAGCCTATCCTAAGGCACAACCTACTGTGGGTAAGAAAGTGAGAAGAAGGTTAACTTCTCACTTTCCCACAGTGGCCCCAATATGGCGAAAACTTCCGGGGGTACCTGGAAGTCACATGGAGGTAGGATCCAGGGACCAGAGCATGCAGCACACGGATCATGCGGCGTGGGAAGCGCGCGTGGGAAGTGGAGCGGGTCCAGGCTAAGTCAGGGTATGTGCCCTGACAGTTAGAACCTGTGGTACATCTGAAAGGAGATAGGGAGGGCGAAGCCCAGAGGGGCAGGAAGATGAGGTGAATGTCATATCCATCCACAGCCATCGACTTCCACTACCTCTGAACTCTCCAGACTACCTCCGCTCCTTCTTCACTAACCTCGGAGCTCCCGTATTCCGCAATCACCTCCACTTCCCTCGATGGTCACCACCCCCTCTTTTCAATATATTACCTATGCCTCCCTAAGTATGGAGCCCTGAAGGCTTCTGGACAGCTCTGACGTCCACTAGCGCACTCCCACCTCCGCTGGGCAA